GCTACCAGATTTTCAAGCGTCTTTGGACACAAACGTTTTTGATCTTTTAATTTCAGTGTTTTAGGAACAAGAACCGGCGAAGGCCATTCGGCACTGCAAGAATGAACCATCATTTTATAAGATCATGGCTGATCTAATGTAACTTAAATCCATATTCCTGCAGCCGGACTCCTAATAACTTTCCACATCTTTGCTTATCAAGACAATAACCACCTATTCCTTAAAAATTCACAGAAAACCTACTGGATATAACTCAATAATCAGAACCCAAACTTAGAAAAAATCATATGAAAACATTTACTTTACATCACAATGTCTTCTTCATAATTTACTTTCCTACCTTTAGTGACATAAGCAGATTGTCAATTGTATCTTCCATCTTTCATCCAAGTCTTAGATATAAATTGTAAACTAATGAGGTCCCAGCACTGATAGTACAGCGTACTACTAGTTACATCCTGCCAATCTGAAAATGACAGTTTGATGTCTCTGCTTCCTGTTAGTCTGCCAAAGTCCTATCCATGTTAATATACTACCCATTATCCCATGAGTTTTTATTTTCTGTAATAACCTTCAATCTGACTCTTGAGCATGTAAATAGGGTACATTCACCAACTCCCCTTTATACATAGTTTCTATTACTACCTCAAAAAAACTCCAATCAGTTGGTTAAGTCGACATTCCTGATGTCCCAGCCAATATTTATTCTTCAATCAACATTATCAAAAAAATTATTAGGTTACTATTATAGTGTAGTTTGTGTTTGCTGTGCATGAACTGGATGGTGCAGTTCTTACAACAGTAACCACAATTGAAAAGTACTTAATAGGTGAAACACTTGAATGGAATTGTAGAATCCCTACACTGCAGAAATACACCGTTCAGCCCACTGAGTCTGCACTGACACTCCGAAAAGCATCCCACCCAAACAACACCCCAGCTCCAGCCCCTTATCGTATTCCGGTAACCCTGCATTAACTGTAGCTAAATACCTAGCCTGCACATCTCTGGACATTACAGGGCAATTTAGCATGGCCAGTCCTCCTAATCCGCACATCTTTGGACTGCGGGAGGAAACCGTAGCACCTAGCAGAAACCCACACAGACACAGAGAGGGCACTAAAACTCCACATGGATTGTCACACAAGCTGGGATCAAACCTGGGTCCCTAGCACTGTGAGGCAGCAGTGCCAACCAGTGAGCCACCATGCCACATGGAAAATTCTGCCGATCTCAACCTTGAATATACTGAATGAAACCAAACCAAACACCCAAGATGGGACTTGAACCCACAATCCCTGGCTTACCGTATCCATTAGGCCACTGGGGCTAATGCTCAGTGAATGACCAGTAGTTGTAAAAACCTTACATAAATGAGAGCTTCCTAGTTTTAAATTTAAAATGATAGGTTAAATTAGGGTCATGGAAAATTGTCAGGAAACATACAAGAAGATATAAATAGATTAGGACAATGAGGAGATGCTCTTAAATTCAGATTGCACCGTGTGCACAGTAATCAATCAAATCCACATACCATGAGCCAGAAAGATGTGCACCATAGGAGCACAGAAGCAGGAGTAGGCCTTTCAGCTTCTTGAATATGCCCAGCCATTCTAGATTGTGGATAATCATCTAGCTCAATGCAACATTCCAGTGCTATTGCTATGTCCCTGATGTCATTAATAACTAGAACCTATCAATCTCTGTATTGAACTTACCCAATGACTGAGTTTCTACAGCCCGCTTTAGTAGAGAATTCCAAAGATTCACCGGCTTCTGAGTCAAGAAATGCCCCCTCATCTCAGTCTTAAATGAATTACCTTTTATTCTTAGACTGTGTCCCATGTTTCTAGACCCTATGGCTAGGGGAAATATCCTTTCTGCATCTAATTCTGTCTACCCCTTTAAAAATGTTGTAAGTTTCTATTAGATTGCTTCTTATTCTCCTAAATTCCACTCAACACAGTTGTGAAGTTGGTATAGTACTTGTGGATTATAGGGCAGGATGTTAGAATTTGTTTGTAAAATGGTAGGGGGGAACGATTGCATGGTCCCTTTAAAAGATGTGTCTTTTTTTAGGCTTGGAGATTTAAAATAAAATGTCTGCAGGCAGCAGCAGATGCACAGAGAATTCTTGAAATTGAAACAATGTATAAAAAAGCTATACTGATAGCAGGCAAAGCAACATTTTTACCAAGACAACAGGTTTTTGAATTTAGCCAATTAATTTAAACCAGTCCCTAGATACAAAAACCCAAATAAATTTAAATCTGATGGTTTTGACAATCTCGGGCCAATCCTATTGTAAGAAATTAATAGGTCATCATGAGTATAAAAGAAGAGGGCATTTGAAAATCAGGGTGAGAGCAAAATGCCATTCGTTAAGAGAACAGCTCTCAACAGCCACCAGCTCTAAAGAAAGAGAAAATCACTGGCTCTCACAGAAATATCTAAGATCTCAGAGTAAGCACAATCCAAATAACGGTACTACAGCACTCTTAGCTAATATTCCTGACACAAGAATTCAACGGAGGAAGGTGTTCCTGACTGGAGGACAGCGGAGAAGGCAAAGAACATTCCAGAAGACTTATCTTGGCTGTAATTTCAAGAGATTAAGCTTTAATTTTTAAAACTAATTTGGTTTTTATAAGTGGGACTTGTATCTATTCAACAGCATACCATTAGAATTTTGTTTTATTCAGGAATAGTTAGTAGTTAAGGGGGAATTGTTTGATTTGTTAGTAGTTCTGTTAATTTGTTAACCATTAGAGTTAGGTAAATAAATTGTTACTTGTTGAATGTAGAGTGACTGTCAGGAGCTCATTTTATTTCACCTCTCCTTTATAACAAATTGGGAGGTGAGAATCAGGTATACCACTTTTCACATTTCCTTTAACAGATTATGA